GAATAAAAACATCACTGAGTGGCATAGCCTAGAGGTTTGGACCATTGCTTAGCATTCGGGAGGACGTCGGTTCGATTCCGGGTCCGTCTGTCTTGGTCCAAGTTTTTCTGCGGATCCCTTGGATCACTTAGGCAAATGCTGAGGCAGATAATCTTTCATTCTCTTCTGTCTTCATTTCGTCCGTCTCATCTTTCTCACCCGAACCACCACCCACCCATTCCCACGATTCCTGAAAGTAGGCTGAAGAGGGCCTTCCGCCCTATCTGCCCGCCCACTAGCATTACTGGCTGGTGGGAATGAAACACCCATAAGTTTTCTTTTTTTTTTTTAAAAAACATCAAACCAAATTCACTACTAATTTCATACGAAAACATTTCAGTAGAACAGAAATTCAAAAACGCAATTTCCGAGTGGTCTGAGGATAATTTCTTATCTCACAACTGCACAACTGTTAATATACGTAATCATCCTAATGCCGCATTTATAAACCAACGTAATAAAAATATTTGGTACTTTTATTATTGTGCATTTACAAATGACATAACTGAACTGTTCCTTGCGCGGTAAGTAAAGCGAAACACCATTCAATTAATAACAATTAATAACAGTACGAAATAACGTTAAATAATGTACGGGAAATGAAGATATATTTACTATAAAGAATTTAGGAAATCATTTTCGAGAATTATAAATTTGTAAATGAATAATAAATTGGAAAGACATGAAAATTGTCATAAAATAACGTTTTACTGATCTTTAAACTTTATGATACACAGAATATATTGCACAATATGTAGGAGTTATAAAATTCCTTTTATTACAAATTGCTATTTTTCGTATGTGAACATAAAATACTGTTTTGTAATCTACTTATCTGATACAGTATCTTTATACAATATTCGCATTATGGTTATATAAAGTTGACCATTTAACTCATACCATTTATCGCCCTCTTTTGCCTCAATTCTTTTGGTCACATTTGGAACTTGGGGAAGAAATAGCGAATCCGTTTAACTTATATATAGGTATTAGGAGTTAATATAACAAAAATAAAATAAAATCGGGATCTTTGTCTTGCGTGACCAATTTAGACTCTAATAAGAATTTATCGTGTAAATTTTACTAAATATACAATGTTTCACACAATTTTAAAAACAGTAACTGCCTAAAATAAATGTATATGTGCGCTATAAAATGTACCTTATGTATTCCGTAATAGATCGAGGGAAATAAAAACTTGCGGGCAAGTTAATAGTTTACATCTTTTACCAGTAAAAGAATTTATTACTGCCTCTCTGCAGCTTCACCATAATTACAGTTTCTTAAAGCATTTATTTGACAGAGTGTTGGCAAACCGTTCGGTTGTTAATTTAAATGATTACAACCCTTACATTTTCTGTATCCCCTTTTATTACCCATTGTAGCCACTATACGAAGTTACTACAAATGAGATAGTAAAAGAAGAGGTACAAATCGTTAAAGTTCAAATTGTACCGGGTGTCTAGAAAAGGTATGGGGTGTATGTAAATTCAATTCAAGTCAAGTCAAAAAAAATCATTTTTGTTAAATTTTAGACAAAGTATTGGAAAATTAATCCAATGATGTTGTCCAAATGTTGACTCTCGTGCTGTTCGCACTCCTCTAACCGAAAACGGAAATTAGCCGCCACGCGTCTACACATCTCTCTGGAAACAGGGACCATTTCCGTGTGGATATTGTGCTTCAATTGCAGCAGATATCGTGGTTTGTTTACGTACACCTTCTCTTTAAGGTATCCCCATAAAAAATAATCAGATTTTCGCAAATAGTTAAGAATATGGGTTGTTCTAGTTTTAGGGAAATGCGAATATTAGTTTAGGATAGGAAAGAGTGGAGGTGCGTATCCAACCAGTCTGAGGACTAACGACCTTATGATGATGATGAGGAGGTGTGAGATTAGGACTTCTCGGAGGCCAGTTGATGGTCTCTCGACGAGAGGGAAAAGCTGATTGACAACTGCAAGCGAATGGTTTGAGGTGGGGGGGCATGTGGCCCCATCTTGTTGAAATCGTCTTTCCACATTATAACCACGAAACTCTTGCAGTTGTGGAACCAAAAAGTTTCTTAACATGTCGCAATACTGGTCATTATTTACCATAAGTGTTCGCCCTTGCCGGTCTCCAAACAAAGAACGCCCAATGATGCCTACAAAAGACATGACAGCCCACTCAATAACTTTTGGACTATGTAGTGGTTGTTCATGTTTATGTCTTGGATTTTCTTTGGCCCCGTAGCGACAGTTCTGTTTGTTTACGTAACCATTTAAGTGAATGTTCGCTTCGTCGCTAAACAGAATGTTTTCAAAGCGTGAAAGTTTGAAAAGCGTTGATGCATTTCATTTGTAAAATTCAGTCGGAGAGGATAATCGGTAACGTTCAGTTTTTGAACTACCTGCACTTTGTAGGCTGTCAGATGTAAATCTTGCTTCCGAATCTTCGGTAACGACGATTTTTTAATGTTAAGTTCGTGACCGCGTTTGCGAACGGATTGAGATGGATTTTCACGCAGCAACACTTTCATTTCTTCAATCGTTTATTGAGTTCGAACAGAGGGTGGACGACCTGGATTGTTAATTTTTGCAGTCGAACCGGTAGTCGCGAACATTCGAATTCATTTTCTGATGGTATCGTCCTTCGGTGCATTGAATTTTTCCATAAACCCATAATTCGTCACCAGTTATGACCAACTTTGGGTCGTCGCGGACTAGTCCAACAGCTCCTTAGCTATGTTAATGAGAGTTAATTAAACAATTTTGATACGAATTTCGCCGCGACCCGTCTCATGCCCAAATCATTCGTAAAAATCAAATGGCAGGAGTCAATCGATATGTTTAGGTTCTCAGCAACTTCTCTAACGATGATTCGACGATTGGCTAATACTTCACTTCATCAAAGTTTTCGTCTGTTGTAGACGTGTGCGGGCGCCCGGAACGCTCTTCGTCGTTCACATCTTCTCGACCCTCTGAGAACATTTTGTACCACCGACAAACTTTGCTTCGATCCAAGGTAGCTTCACCATATGCCACAGTCAACATTGTTGTGGATTGTACCTGCTAGCTACGAAATTTATTATTCGAGCACGATAACTACAGGTTTTCCCGTGACCGGCTACCTGAACTACCCCGTGCTACAACCAAACTTACCTACAATAGCAACTTTTATCATCTATTTTTAATTCCCTTGTGTATTTATATTTTACTTTACTCTTGTCTTCTTTATTCCCGCTGTTTGGTTGTAGTTTCCTACTTGATCCCTTCTTTTTCTCTATTTTTTTGACTTCCTTACTTCTTCGTTCAATCATCTTTTTTGTCTCTTTTTTTTTTCTATTTTTATTCATTTTTATCGTAGAACCACCGCTCTTCTTTCTAACACTATATTCTTATGCATGCCCTGTCGTTTCCTATAGTTAGTTTTTTTATTTTTTTCCGCGAAGTTAACGATAAAAGCGAATTCGTTTTTATCATTACCTTTCGCCCTTCTCTTATCACCCCACCATCATCCCAGTCTCAACCCCTCTTTTTCCCAACCCTTGCGTGGTACTGGGGTTTGTATAAATAACCCTCATTCCTCAGTACCAGCATCCTTCGATCGACCTTCACAGCGAGCGAATCTTCTCAGCATACAGCAGCAGCCTACCAGTCTTCTACCCTCGACTATTCTCCAGCTGATCTTCGAGCAGACCAGACCAGTAGCAGCCTTCAACGGACNTCTTCATTTCGCCCGTTTCATCTTTCTCACCTGATCCACCACCCACCCATTCCCACGACTCCTGAAAGCAGGCTGAAGAGGGCCTTCCGCCCTACCTTCCGGCATAGTCCGGAGGGACTGCCCGCCCACCAGCATCACTGGGAATGAAACACCCAAAAGTTTTTTTTTTTCAGTACCAGCAGCTCCAATATTCCACCGACCCACGGCAAGGAAGAAGGAGTTCCATCACCAGCCACCCCCGTTTTCTTTGCTTTCGCCTAGCCGTTAGCCTCCGAGTGCCAGTTTGTAGCGTAAGTGTTTCAACCAGCGTTTTTTGGTCTTGCTCAGACTTTTTGTTTTGTATATATATATTTTCTTGCCTATATTTGTATTTTTCACTGTATATATTTTGTTTCATGTTTGTTCTTAATTATTTGTTATTCCAGTTGTAGTGTTAGGATATAAGTTAGGATTAGTGTGTGTGAATAAACTGTGTAAAAAGAAAGCAAAGACTTATCATTCGGAATACGTCCGCGCACATAAGTTTGTTTTTCACACAAAATTTGATACAGATTCTTAGAATAGGCAAAATCGAAGAAGAGCCAAAACGCGTGCTAGTAAAGCAGCTATCAAAAATGAACTGAACATTCAACATAGCTGAACTTGTAGGTATAAGTGAGAGACATGAGTTCCAACATAACGCCACAAAAAAATCGAAAATCGAATATATGTAACCCGCGGAAATTGAAAATTCGCGATTCCTTTTGAACAGACTTCGTATATAGGGTAATCCAAAAAATGTGCAACGTGCTGATTGTGTCCAAACTATTGACTTTTTTCAAACAAAACTAAACTTAAAACTTTTTCCTATAACTATTTTTAATTGGACCCATACTAAACTGTGCTGACATTTAAACGCAATCTTCTTTCTTCTATTTTTGAACACTATACGGTATACGGTAAATAAAGAACAAGTTTTGTTTGAACAATTTTTCGATTACACTAACCTATAGTTTAGCCACAATGTGCAGATTATGATTTAGTATGGTTAAATACAAAAATACTAAAAAAGAAACTTAGGTTCATTATTTACTCTTAAGAATTTTTACTTCAGTCGTAAATCCTTTGACGCACACACTTCTCTTGTAATAAAAAACCTTTTCCTATAGGTTTCATTCATTGTACTTAAAGAAACTTTAAATGCAAATATCCTTACGGTTAGTCCTGTTAAGTAAATCTGGAAAACGTACAAGGGCATAAATTATATTCACTCACCTCCAGCTCGTTAATTGCAACCCAGGAATTGGAAGGAAATCCTTGAAGCATAGGCACCAGAAATTGCAGACAACCCGACCAATGGCCAATGAGAAGCATCATACATATGAGGTTAAAAATCCGCATAAATACACTGGCCATATTTAAAAACTGAAACGTAAAAGATAAAATCGATTATTTTCTTAAGATATCTACGCAATTATATGTGCTCCACAATATGTGTATGTATGCCTATGTTATAAGAACAGCTTGCAAATTTCCTAAAGTATTGAAAGACAAATTAAAATGGTCATTTTCAAATAAATAAGAAATCCTTCGAAAAAATATAAGTAAACAGCCACCAAAACAACAAAAAATTATAAAACCTCCAAAGTTACAAATGGAAACAACATATACTGTCGAAGCAAAAGCAGCAATTAAGCGACTGGCTTTGTTACTCTTTTTGCAGATTATAAATTATTTGATTGAAAATTATTTTTAATACATAAGAATTTATCATTTTACATTGGTACAAATATACAAAATACAAGAAACAAAACAAGCCTTAACCGTATTTACCGAGAACATATGATATTTTTAATAGATTGATTGCTGAAATAATTTTTAGCTTTATAGTCCAGTCGGTAGAGAACTTTCCCGACGTAAATTTGTTGCCGGACAGGAATTGTTCCTTGTTGTAGCCGGGGAAAAGTTAAGCATTCCTGTATATTTTTAAACTTCAAAAAAGTGTGCGTTAACAAATAGGGGTGGGCCAAATTTGACAGAAACCACGTTTTTTGACCTAGAAGGCAAGGTATGCTTTTTAGAAAGAAAAGTTATAATAAAAATTGTAGAGAAATTAAAAACCTTTGTCAATTAGTTATTGCAGAAATCCCAAATAATCGTAAAAAATTGCAATTTCTTGGTTATATTGTTTGTTTAATGCAAAAATTACTTTTTTAATGATTTTAACACATTAAAATGATATTTTTTAAATTTGGCATCGAACTAGTTTTTGTGGACGTAAATTGGTCAATTTCTCGGCAATTTTTATTTGAAACTTTTCATACCTTGCTTTCTAGGTCTAAAAACCTGGTTTTTGTCAACTTTGGACTTTTTCGAAGTTTAAAAATATATAGGAATGCTTAACTTTTTCCTAGGCTACAACAAGGAACAACTCCCGTCCGGTAACAAATTTATGTCGGGAAATTCTCCACCGACTGGACTATTAATACAATCAGAAAAAATAATTCATGAGACATATTTGACAGCTTAATTAAAAAAATATATTACTTCAGAATATAATACTAGTGGATTAGTAAATTAGAATAAATAACTGAATTTATTATACAAGGGTAGAACCAAAACTTGTTTACTTCAATGAGTTATTGCTCGCCGGCAAACTGGAACGCTCCACCTGTAATATACCGCTAGTCACGTAGTTATGCGGTTTTGGGACGCCAAAGGCGTTAAACCTATCAAAATGTTTTAACAATTTAATAAAGTAGTGCATAGATTTCAAAAACTTTCTGCAAGAGACGTCAAAAGAAACGAGAAATTTTCAATTGCCAACGTGAACGTCGCGAGATTGATCATATATCACCCACACACCCTATAGTGCGCACTTGGCACCCAGTGACTATCACTTGTTTCTCAAATTGAATAAACATTACGCTGGAACGTACATCAGCGACCAAAGTTTCACTAACCAGCAGCTCTTGTCTTGGCTTTAAAATCAAAATTAAGAAATTAAAACCATGGCTCCTGGGTCATAATTCCTTGTATTAATTCAAAAGTATCGATATTTTTGGACGCAGAAGGGTGACACCCGAAATGGGTACTACATAGCGAAATAGTTATGAATAGTTGGGGTTAAACCATAAAGATTAGAATACTAATAAGTAATTCTCACACAATAAGTTGTTTTAAATAACCTTATGAAATGTAATATTATATAAATACTATTTATTAATACTTATGCTTTCATATTTGAAATGACGAACAAAAATTTTTCTGTTGTGCATAATTATTGCGAATCATATTTTTATGGATATTCCATTGTAGGTATGAGATTAGTTATATCCTTATAAATAATTTTACAATAAACATTTCTCAATATACCTATGCTCTCACATTAGTATAATCAACGGACCGCATTTTACATTTGTTCTACAGGGAGTAACAATTTTATGAGATTAAGTATTAGACACAAGAAAATCAAAAACAGTTTTGTGGAACTAAACTATACTTCGTTTACTTTCTGTAGCGATGTGACCTTCATTTTGACCGGTGCAAAGTAGACAAGAACAGCACTAGGCCAGAAAAGAAAGGAGATAACTCTCGGCCGAACTCTTAACCGGTGAGGAGCGTATAATCGGTACAGTACTGCACGGAAAAATTGACCATTTTATCCACTACAATTGTATTGCTCAAATGTGCTGTTAACGGTACCATTTACTACTGAAAATATCAACGAGATGTTTATTTATATTTGAAGACATATTAAAGGCTTTAACGCTTGTTTTCGACTCGCATTAACATTCATGATTGAAAAAAACTTTCGGCAGGTACTGTATGAAAAAGTATGTTTAATGAACAAGAGTCGAGAGTACAATGAGCTTTTTTCTCCCTAGCTACGATTTTGTCAGCGCGCATTGGAAGGGGCACATCGCTAGAGAAAGTAAATGAAGTATAATAGTAAGTAAAATCCAAAATAACACATAAAAACGTTTAAATAAAAATAATTTCATAATAACGATACGATTATTTTCCTGCATTGCATCAGAAACAAAAGACATAAACAGATGAAAATATAAAAAAGTAACTTCAAAGTGGAATTTATTGTCAAATGAAACACTGCTTGCAAGTCTCGAAAATGTTAATCCCAAAGATTCCAAAATATTCACGGTAAAACGAGAAAAGAATCCAAAATGTGATTTTCCCATAAAACTTTATAAGCCATTAACTTTACGACTGTAATAAACTTGGGTCGTTTCGTACGAACATCTCGCAGAATATCGTTCCCACATTAATAATGTAATAGATGTATGCAGCATAGTTTAATATTTATAATTTTCGATTATAATAATTATGTTTATAGATTATACGTATTTATGTAGTAATGGAATTATGCAATGAGATCAGAATAACACATAAAATTAAGTGTTGTATGACATTTTTAAAATAAAAATATCTCGAGAAGAAAATTAAAACTATGCTATTTATTTTAATATGATTTTGCTTCCTACTTCTATCCTAGGCATACACATTTATTGGGTGTATGCTCCAAAGCACCACCCAGGAACGACTGTATACAATTTCCTGTGGTACATAATTGGTATCTAATCAAATCTCACATCAAATGATACTAAATCTATCAAAGCAATGTTCTCATTAATGTGTAACTGAATATAAATAATGTGACGCTAAAGGACGAATCCAAATATTGAAGAACGGATGTTTAAACTGAACCTTAGGATGGTCACAATCAATGTTAAATAATTAGAGTTCAATAAAAAAAACATCAAGGTAAGTATTAATCGTCGAAAACTACAAAAACCAAGAAAAAAGAAATTCATTATTAGGGAATATCGGAAACACCGCTAAAGTAACAAAGTTTTGAAAACTTTCGCCAAAATATTTAAGAAGGACGGATAATTCGAAAATGTTAAGTTACAGCTATTATACCAGCTTTTAAATGTTGGAATCCCTTTGTATATTGTTTACATTAAATTTGTTATCTATCAATTAGGTACGTTGAACAAACGTAGTCTGTCGAAATTGTCATTCGTGGATCGCCATTTATCTCATCAGCACGTTTCGAGAGAATGCTGGCTTTACTTACTGCCTCTAAACAGCGTGATGAATGCCATCTATAGAAATTTGCTACTAATTTTGAATTCGTTTATGTTTGTCAAAATGTAAATTATTACGCATCAAAAATTGAACAATGAAGCCAAAAACAAGTGTTATTTGGCACTACTTCAATAATGAAGTTTGTGCGAAGATTTATTCACGAAGGGGTTTGTAAAGGTAGCTCTTTCCAATTTATCAGGAAGCTTATTGTTTTTTGTAATGAAAATGTCGTAAATGCTTTTAACACTAGTGAAAGGGTTTTCAAGGTATAAGTCGGTAAAAGTCTAGATGATGCCCCCCAAAGGGGATGGGGGGGGTCAAAAGAGGAGGTCTCCCGCACCTCTGTACCTTAAAAAGTTCGTGGCGGTCTCACCCCCATAAAAAATTATGGGGGTTTAAAGTTAATAAATATGTTAATTTTTATACATTTCTAGACATATAAATATTTATATAGTCATTCTTAGTATTCAAAGATAAAACTATTGAAAAATACATAAAAAATACTGAGAAAGTTATATAAAACATTATTTAAATACCTTTATCAATAGGGTAGGTTAGGTAGGTTATCGGGTTTTGTTCAAGTGACCACCCTTTTTCGATCCCCCACCTCCACCCGCTTGAAAATGTTTTTTTTATTGAATTTTATTTGAATTATAGTGTATGAAAATTGTCAAAATAATCAACATTCAACCCCCACAACTTTTTATAGGGGTGAGACCGCCGCAAATTGTTTATGGGGTTTTACTCAGGTGACCACCCTCTTTCGATACCCCTACCCTAACCCTCATCGGGGGTGGGGGGGGTCATCATCTAACCCCCATAACTTTTTATGGGGGTGAGACCGCCACGAACTTTTTATGGTACAGTGGTGGGGGAGACCTCCTCTTTCGATCCCCCCTCAAGGGGGTGGGGGCCATCATCTAGACATTTACCGTATAAGTTTAATATAAACATTTATGAAATTATGATAGATATGCATCTATATATACCATCTGAATCTTGCGGCAAATTCATCGGAAGGAATCCTCCCTTAATATATAAAAAAGGTTCACATTGTATTTTTATCTTTATAAATCACAAAGTAAAGTATACCTACCAAGTTTTCTCGACACCCGAATAAATTTCATAGAAAATTAGTACTCATTTGACTTTAGCGTAGTGCATGAACGTTCTTCAAAAATAGAAAGCAGGGATTCCCCGAGCATCACTAGCTCACGCCACCAAAGAAGTTCGGCGGCAAAAAAGTAAACTTAGCGCAATGGATGCGTTCTAAAACTCTTTTTATCTTTTTCTAATGAATTTGTTTAAATGTTAATAATTTATTTGTATAATTCTCTAGTTACTATCTAACATAAACTGATTAAATACAAAATTAATATCTATTACCAAATTTTGTGAGAAATGTTAGGTTCCTCCTGTCTTCTTGGCCTCTCGGGCCCGTAGCATTTTGCCTATTTTGTCAACCTATTGTTACGCATTTAAAGACATGATAGAATAATTTCCCAAATGGTATTTAGTAATCCTTATACAAATCCTAATAATCGCGCCCATTATATTGAAAATCTCCCTCTCGCTTACGAATATTATATTTATATATGTTTATGTTTATCTAAATTTTGATTGTGATAAAACGCAATTTGTATTACTTTAATTCACTTTTAGCATTTACGAATTTACGAAGATTGACAAAAAACTGCTGCTTATGATTACATAATAGCATGCCGCCACAGAGACACGATAATAATTTATAGAATTACAAAGCTCTATCAAAGTGCTAACTTTCAGTTCACGCAAATATGCGAACATTTTCGAAACTTCATCGAAATCTCATAATAAGAGATACAAGATCAACTAAACTGAATAATTTTATAATCGAAATAATTGATAATCGAATAAAAAAACAATGAAATGAATTTTCGACTTCGTTATACGGAGAAATTTTTATAGCAAAGCAAAAATTACAATTTTCAATTGTACATGACTGAATTTGCCGTAGAAATCGTAGAATTTATTAGGTAACTTGTAATAATCTCAATTTTGACATTTTTTTTTAATTATTTCAAGTTTCTTACTTAATACAATTTAATTTGTAATAACAACTAAAATACCTAGTAAATTTGTTTCTGCTGGGATTGTATTTTTGCAAATTCGGGTCCAAATTGTAATTGTTATTATTTTCACTTACGAAGCAACGAGCTAGTGTAATAAGTTGTAAATATTGTTTTAATATTTAGGTAAATTTTCATTTTTTATTTTCTCCGTCTAATTATGAATCAGTCAGAAAGATATAAGTATTGAGTACATCAATAAATAAGGGAATATCGACATATTTCCATAGATTAATAAATAGGTACGAATTATGATGCTCTTGGGAACTAAAAAGGATAAATCGTATGTAAAATATAATCTTTTCGTTGTTTTTACTCTTTGTCTTTTTCTGAGAAAATCATTTAAAAAAAAGCAATATATCTTTTATTGGCGGTAGTAGTACCTACTATTAGTGTTTCCTACAGCTCGAATCCCCTAGCTGCAAACTTTATAAAGAACTTTTGCTTCCATTGTTGAAGTACCTACAGCCAAATCAGACTTTTCAACAAAATCATTCTACAAATTTTATCGTCTTTTCTAGCTTTGAAAAAGCTTTTATACGCATTTGATAAAAAACATGCACATTGATACGATATCAATGAAACCAACTTTCAATTTGCTATCAGTAAAGAAACTTCAATGGTGTCAATTTTTAGGTGTTTCCCGGAATATAAAGAACACTTCACATCAACTTTAGCTGACCGAATCTATTTACTACGAATTAAAAATGATATACCTACATATCTATATATTGATAATTGTCAGTTGTTTATTGTTATCGATAATTACTGATATAAGTCAATAGATTTGTTCGCTTAAAAGTTTACTAGTTAACCGCTACAGAAAAAGAAGCGCTATTTTCTCAATTGTCTAATCGTATATGAAGCAAATAAACGCAAAATCCCTCTGGAACGCTAATTAAAAATAGCTTGTAAAAAGCCGTAGTAAAAAATTAAATACCCATGTTTAATTTAGTCTCCAGATGGTGGTTACGACAAGGCTAAAATTGTAGTTGAGTGGTTGAGCTTGAGACTGCCCGGAAAACGTTAAACTTATATTACACCTTCAACCTGTCCAGTTGTCTGAACATAAAGCTCCGGGGTAACAGTCTTACAAAACCGGGACATCCGATTTTTTACTTGGACAACACCAACTGTGAAACCCTTAATCCAACGGGATAAACAGTAACAGGAAAGATAATAATCCTTACTTGTACTTAACCCGATTTAATATTGATCTTACCATAATACAATTTAAGAGTTAAACTAATCTTCGTTTGATTCGGATTCCAGTGTAGAATAAAAGAAGGTTTTTCAGACCAGCCAACTTGGCATCCTTAAAAGTCAGATTTCACGATTAGAAACGTTGGTAGAACAAAACAGTTTTCGTTCGTCACTGTCAGGTTACTAGATTATAATAAACCGGACTTTTTTTGTTCGTAGAAAAGCTACAATGATAAAGCAACGTGCATATGTATGTGAAGCTACCTACACACAAACAAAATGCATCAAAAAGTGACATCTACCTATACAAACAAACAAAACATGTGACAATACATACGTTATAACAATGCATAAGAACTACTACATAAAAGCACAAAGCACAAGCGTTGTAGAAGCTAAGCCGGGACAGATTGCTGAAGAACGTATTACGCTATTAACTTATGAATATGTCGAATTCGGTTCCAAATTTTTGCAGTCGAATTAGGTCCTTAAGGAAAAAAAGTAAATTTTATTACTATTCTCTTTATTAGTCTGGTATTAATTTTACTCCCGAAAGCAATAACGGTGAGCAATTAGGTCTATTAGTTCGACGCCATCTTGTGCTATATTAGGGACCTGTAGCACTGAAAGTTTCATTTAGCCGCAACAGTGGGACCCAATTCGACTGAAATATTTTAGGTAAGGTGGTGATAGGGACCCAACGTGGCCCCTTATAGATTACAATTAAATAAGGGATAAATGTATGTATGGCGCGAATAAAAGCTGGAAATAGAGGCGCCACGGGTCGGTAATACGCATGCTTTGTATTAATATTATATTTATATATATATATGTATATATAAAAGGCGATCATTAGTAGTATAAGACTGCAGCTTGAAGCTGATGATTACCTTAAAGATGAGATTGCTCGTTTTTGACTTGTCGACGTCCGAACTGAGGCGCCCCCTCCTTTCCGTTCTCTTTTTTTGGAGGTTCTGCAAGATCTAGAAAAAAGCGAAGAACACAAATAGTAGAGAAAGCTTGGCACGCTCAATCCACAGAAGAACGAACATATTAGTTAGAAAGTTAAAGAGCGGTGTGTGACTTTGAAAAGTTAGTAAGTTAACAAGAGTTAGTAAAGCTATTTACAAAATTGCTCGGTACATAATCATAGAAGGTTTTACTCAGGTATATACAAGAAAGTTGTGTATGTTACATTTTAATTCAATTTTAATTTCAGGTACTCTTATGAATAAGGTAAGAACCAAACGAGATAAAAAAAAATTATTTTATCTTAAACTCAAATAATCAATTGAAAAAAAAAAAAGACTTTTACGTATTTTAAATAATTTTTATATATGCAATGCTTTTTGTTTTTTAAAAATAGGAAATCAAAAACGGTACCGTTAATGACAATGAATAAATTGAAATGAATTAAAAACTTTATACGTAATGTTGTGTAAATGCTAAGCGCTAAAAAAGGACTGGTGAATAAATAATAAGCAAAGCAAAACAGCGTAATTTTAGCAGTACATTTAGCAAATAAAGCTGTTGTACCTGTGAAAAAAAGAAGTACTTAGCCAAATTATAACAGCAAAACACAAAAGAAAGTGTTTTCTAAACATTTAGAAAGTAAAATTACTTTATTGGGAGGTTTGTTTTCATCCCTACATAACGTTTAATTGATTGAAAATTTAAAATAAAATTGGATTAACAATTAATCATACATCCCGCACTTTCTTTGCTGCAAGAAGGTGAATCTTGGCAATGATTCGTTTAGTTGTTATCGCTGGAAGACAAATACGCTACGGTTTGGTCATATTAGTTTAAAGATTCTATACGGTAGGTTCACTTCTTTGATCTGCTTAAAATATCGACATTTTTTGAAGGACATCATAAATTAAATTTATGTGCGCTGAACTACCATATACAAGGACGCTTCAACAGTTTTATCGATATGTTTAGATACATAATATATTTGTACAGTAGTTTCGCGATGACACTCTGTACATTCCAGCCCTTGCTCAGCGGGGAATTCGTTGACGAAATAGTGAAGCGTCGACAAGAGAGAGATGTAAGGGCGTGACTGGGAAGTGAACCTACTGTACAGAATCTTTACACTGTGATGGTAGGTTCACTTCACCACTTCATCTACACTAAAGCAAGGGCTGGCTTGTGTCATCTTGAAGCCACAGTACAAATATATTTTATATCTAAAAGCTTCAATAAAACTAATAAACAGTTCTCGTATATATTAATTCAACACGCATAAAGTTAATTCATGAGTGAACCTACCGTATAGAATTTTTATAGTGTGACTGTACTACAGAATGCTACCTCCAAGAAAACATTGCTGTCTCAAATTTTGTACAAAAATCAAATAAGCCCTTCAATTTCCAATATCGTCAAAACATTGATTTAACATACGATTAGAAAGTGAAAAATAATTTAGATTAGTTTTAATATCCCTTGCTAATTTGATAAGTGTATTTTATGGAATAACACCGTTTCAATATAAAATGAAATCGACAATAAACTAAAGTGTAAAAGACCATTTTTCTAATTTCTGTTAGTCATTTTAGAATAGATGTAGTTAAAACTTTCGAAAATATCCATTGAAAATTGTTTAAAAAAAATATTGGCTTTTTTTATCATTTTTTCGCCGTTATTGTAGCTGTGGTTCATGACTGTAATTGATCAATTTTCGTACCTGTTTTTAACATTAATCGACAGTAGTTGTTGAAAAAATCGAATTCTTCCATACTTACTGTTATTTGAAGACTAGTACATAATTCAGGAATTTGATGTTTAGATACAATATTTATATTACTAACGATCAATACGAATGATAGTTACCGGTACCTACTAACAACGAATAACTGGGAAATAGAAACAGAAAATAAGCGTGTTCTGTTTATATTGTGAAATTTTATTTAACAAAGTATTGGACTTGAAGATGACTAAAACTATTTTTATCAAAATATTGAACTAATGTAAAGTCAAAAAGGACTCATAACTTTGGCGGCATATATTTTTTTATTGCATTGATTTAAAATGTAGAAATAAAAAGCGACTTTATATTAATGATGGGTCACTATACTATCAATATTTGTGGGTTTGACTCTCGGTAATTAATGATAAAAGGTAAACAATTTGTGATTAGCAAAAATAATCGTACCGGCTGCTAACCAATTTTAAATTCCTTTTTAAATTTTCATAAAAACCACGACTTTTTATGTTTCTTTACCAGTGTATTATTACCATTAGGAAACCTTATTTAAAGATTTTCACTAATATTTTAGTCATTTTGTTGCAAAACAAAAACAGTCACAACTGTTTGGTCACATTTTGACTTCTTTGAATACTGGATGCGCTCTGTTACGATTGTATTAAACAATAATTAACTTTTGAATAAACTAGGCAGTTGTAATGCATTTTTAGATATAAAAATTTTAGTGAAATTAGTTTTAAAAAACTACATTAAAAAAAAAGAATTACAATATTAGCAATTTTGTTTACGTAATTGTAGTTTCTTTAAATATAATTTGCTGCAACTAGTTTTAGTTGAATCTTTATCGGGTTAGATAAAAAATTTTATGTTTTCTTATTTAATTGGTATAATTTTTGTAAAACTGACCTTTTAAGAGATCCGATGTCAATTTATAATTACTACAATTCTACACCTTAGAATTCACTATGTATCTGTTTCTAAATAACAAATAGAGTAACAGTGTCAGTTTAACAATAGTTAGACCAAAACAGACTACAGTTTAATAGTTAAAAACATTTAACTCTTTGTCTGACTTTTCAATAACTCCATAGATATAAAACTTCATGTTCCAAGAATTATTATTTAATTTTATTCATCAATTTTTGGTAAAACTTTGGAATTAATGTAACTAACAATTTGAAGTCATTTGGATTGTTCATTGTTGGTGTTTTTGTTTTGCGATTGAAGAGATACATTGACAACTAGTAAGACGGAAATATATAATCAATAGATCAAATTTCCTAGAAAAACAGAGTCTGGTCACTCATGGGATTAGCTTGATTAACGTGATTAAATAATGGCGGAATCAATCGCTGGATTAACTTGTACGGTGCATTTGGAAGTACATTTAAAATTTAAATGGAGTTGTAGATTAATTACATTATGGAACAAATAACACTATTGGTACTTTAGCAATAAAATAATTGTCAACCACATCCTTTTTGAATTTAGCACAACTGAAAATGTAATATGTAGCAATTCAAATTCATAAAATACAATGTTAATTTCTTTTTTCTTACGACATATATATATATATATATCATTACGTCGATATTTAACAACACCTGACTAAATGCTAGAACACAAAATGAGAAAAAAATAACAACATTAATACCAATACCAGCAGCCATTTTGTAATCACATTGATAACATTGGCTAGATTGTATTTCTGGGGACTCTAGTTAAAGATGCAGCATGTATTTAATGTCGATTCGATTGTTTTGTCCCCCAGTGCTCAAAGCAACCATAAATATTGCACAATTTAAACTATATTTGTGTTTTGATACATGTATTTGTCGCAGTGTATTTCTGACTTTGCGGCAAAGTAAGCGCAGGCTAATTGAATATAATTGTCTCAGTTTTTAAATGCTGACAACTCTAAAAATCATGCATCAAATTGAAAATATTTTATCAAAATTCACGAAAAACCCAAAAAGCATTGTACTTTAATCACATTGTAATATTGTGGGGACCGCCGTGTCGGTTTAAAAAGACCAGACAAAAAAACAATCCCTAACATTTTTTTTTTGATAAAAAGTCGGAAACTAATTTTATTCTCGTTTAATATTCATAAGAGTATGATGCTAATGTTAAGTAGTTTCAAAAAAAATTTTGTTTAAAATTTATTTTAGGACAAATATAGTACGACTTAGTAGTAAGCAGCCTAGTAGATAGGTTTAGCAAGAAGGATGCAAAGTTTCATAATAATTAAACAACAAATCAAAAGTGCATTAGTAGTAAGGGATGCCATTAATTAACATGTCTATATTATTATGCAACTATCAGGATCTATAACTATTACTGTTAGAGCAAAATATTGGCAAATAGTGATCAAGTAAAAGAAGTGTAATCACCAGTAAGATTACTTTGGTCATTTTTTAATTTTAAAAGTGTAAGTTGTGACATTGTATGCCTTCAAAAGGGCAATCAACTTTTGGCCTTGAATGAGGTTTTACTTTCACCTTCAAGGTCATTGAAATGTAAAATCATTTTTTTCTAATGGAAATGTATATTTCGTTGTTCCTAATTTCTCATCAATTAAGATATTTTTATTATTCAGTATTCCTAATTGAAAAAGTGACTGCTTTCATGTATCTAGGAAGACAGGACGGAAGGAGCAGTAGGGATATAAGGCAAAGGATAGTGCAAGGTCGAGTCGCCTTCAATAAAAAGAAGTCATTTCTATGCCTGCGAACGATTAATTTAGAAATTTGAAAAAGATTTATAAAGGTATAGCGTAGTACGTATGCGAAACATGGATGTAGGGCGCGGCGGAAAAGAAAAGGTTAAGAGCGTTCGAAATGTGGTGAATGATGGGGATACCGTGGATAGAGGAGGTTAAAAATGAAGAGATATTAGAATGAATTGGAGAAAAGAGGACTACGGAACTCAAGAATAAATAGGCGAGGACACAGGACACCTTCTCAGGCATGAATGTCTAGTTAGAGACATATTACAGGTAGAAACAGGAGTTAAGAGGAATAGAGGTAGACCTAGATTGGATTACTATTCACAAATGGTTTAGGATGTGGGCTGTTCTAGTTTTAGGGAATACGAAGATTAGCTCAGGATAGGAAGGAGTGGAGATACTTGTCCAACCAGTCTTAGACTGGCGACCTTATGATGATGATGATGATTCGTAATTGGTTTTAATCCTTCATAAATACCAACTGAAAGATTGACAGCAAATCAATTTCAAGAATGTTTCCGATTACAAAATTTCCCTCTTTTTCCATTGCTGGATCCCTACACAATTTTTATATTTGAAAATTTCTTTGTTCCCTTAGTTTTTTAACCCTTGGAGTATTCAAATAATATGAGGGATATGTATGTACTTCTATAGAAGATATCCGGTATATAGATATATAAGTATAATAATAATGTTTTTTACACAATAGCCCCTTTCACCAGAGACTAGGCCATTTCAGAATGATATCTAATTGAAATGATCAAAATAGAATAAAGACTGTGGAATACGTTTGCGATTGGTTAATTCATATTTCCTTCTCGCCTTATAAACATGAACCAACTAATCAGAGACTGCTGTCATCTCATTTTGACCGTTTCACTTTGATATTCACATTTTGAAACGACTTCGTGAAAGGACCAGTGTGCGTGCAACTGCCGGCGCAGGCTGAGCGCACAACTTCCGGCGCATGCGACGCACACAACTTCCGTTGCATGCTACTGACACTATTTTACTCTCAACGCGCCACAAGAAGTATCACTTCAACATAATGACCACACTGCATAACTGAATATTTCCAAATATTAAAATGATAACTATTTGCCAATACTTCTAACTAGAAAGTACCCTGCATGCAGTTTTTTATAGGAAAATAGACTGAGTATAGTCAGTTAAGGTGTTAGAAAGAAATGCTAATTTACGTTTAGTTTTGGCTGTCGATTGAAAGTGTCGATCGCGTTTATAAAAAAAAATGTTTCAACGAACGATGAAAGTTATACGTGCAGTAGTTCAATATGTTTACGAACGAACTGTTCATCTCTACACTTACATTGTTGCCGTCATGGCCCTCGGTTAAAAAATCTACCATCTGTAATATTAACTACAAAACGTCGACAAGCAATAAAGTATTTTTGTGTATCTATTTGTTGTGCATCTTTTGGTATAAATATTCGCAGGAAGTAGGTCTACATATTTTCCTGCGATCAAGTTACGGAAAGATGTTTCAGTAGAAAACTGTAAAATAAAAGTAGCCATAGCAAAAAAAAAATAAGACGAAATATATAAAATAAAAATATGATAAAAAAACATAAATAAAATAACAAAAAAAATATTTACGAACACTATATACGTCTTTTTATTGTTAGTAGTTGAACTCAATTTATGCATACAATATCGAGTTACATCAGCATATTGCTATCTACTGATATTTGCTGCTAATTAAAGTACTTATTTCAACTTCTTGCACAAGGCCCTTTACCACGATATCTACGAGTAGAAACTATTAACTACCCAATAGATAGCACAACATATTTGGTTTTGGCCCAAATATAAGTAAGTCTTATCCTTATAAATCCTTACGTTTGTTAAGTAGTAACAAATAGCCACTAGATGGCGACACACTGCCTGTAGTTGAATGATTATTATATATAAGTCATATTTAGAGGATATTTAATATTAATCAAATAAAATAAACCGAGCGGGATGACCTAGAGGTTTAGATCATTGCTTAGCTTTCGGATCGATTCTGAATCCATCTGCCCTAGTCTAAATTTTTCCACGATTTTCTTGGATCACTTAGACTGATGGCGAGACAGTAACAATATTCCACAGATAATATTTTACTTATCGTCTGTTTTTATTTCGCCCATGTCCTCTTTTTCTCCTTACACCCTCCACCTACTCATTCCCTACTCTGTAGCATAGTCTGGAGAAACTTTCCGCCTACAAGCTGGTAGAAATGAAACACTTTACTTTTTAAGTTCAGTTGGACAAGTAGATATCTTACTAGGGACCTTGTCTAACAATTGAAATACTACAGTTAGCAGAAAATATCACTAGATGGCGATATACCGCCATAACTCAATATTATGACCTGCATATGAGCATACAACTGATGATGCTCCGTATAAGGATGTAAAAAGTGCGCGTTGAAGTAGACTTATTTTGTAGGTAGATGTACAATTCTGTGAATTGTTAATGTTATGTACTTTAAATTATTTTTTTGCATTTTACAGCAGAAAATATTTTGATTTGAGTTTTCCCGATACTTCGAAGTACTTTGGAAATCGAGTCAATTCTCCATTGCAAAAAGCATTTCAGAAAAAAAGGTTTATAGCGAAATAATATGATTTAACTAACTTCTACATTCCAACGAAAAATGTGGCTTAGATAGTTTTCTAAAACCGCTGTTTTTTAGTACTCTCACATTTGAGTGACATGAGAGTTGCATCAACCTCAAATCCTATCGATTGTTGAAGTTTAAACAAGCTTTGTGAATCACACATACTAAAATTTAGATACATCATAGTAACATTACTGAGAGATTGAGAGTATATCAATTATTTATTAATAGAGAACGTCAATTCTTGGTCAGTAATTGATAGAAACTACCAAATGTACATCGCAATTTCGAACTTATTGGTTCGCATCAACAACTGTTCCACAAAAGCGCGTGTCGGCAATATATCACTCCTGAGATTTGCAGCTAATTATATTATTACAAAATGTTTGACAAGGATCTTACAATCGCAAGTACTAGATGACGAGAAGGTTCCCATACCTTGGTATTATGAAAACTCACTTTTGCGAAACAACTTCGGTTTAACGACAATATTGGCCTTGATATAAACCATCAGATATTGAAGGAAATATCAAGGTTAACATGAAATTTCTAAGTGGAAACTCATATTTTTCAGCCTATATTCTTGAAGACAGCAATACTATACGATTATATTGTCAACATCATCACTGGATCAGTTATTTTATAATAAACACCATTCGTGGCGGTTATTTCTGAAGCTGCGGTTTACTAGCTGTTTCGCACCAAAATCTAACTTGATTCCTGAACGACCTCTACAAGTCATGTTGACCTAGTGTGTGGACGAATATCTAAATTTTGCGCCCTTCGAAATTCCGGGTTGAAGTATACTACCTTCCATTTAAAAATTTCATGTTGACCTTGTGATCATGGTAAATGCCAAGGTCAAGGACGTCATTAGATTTTTCTTTAGTATCTGATAATTTTCGCTAAGATCATTTTGCGATTGCTAGTCTCTCTTCTGAGAAAATCGACTGTCCCGGTACTTTTTGAACACATGCGAAGTTAGTTAAGACGTTCATCCTATTTGACTATATACACTTAGTGTTGTAACCTACACAATACTTAGGCGTAGCTTTTAAATAAACATTGCAAGTAAATTTAAAGCGTTGTTGCTACTTTAGGTTATTAGTTTTGGAGTGTAGATTCGTACAGAAAACGTAAACGGAATCTCTCAATAATTTTACAGTACTTGGTTCAAGTAGATTCGCAGAGCGTTAGGCCACTTTCACACAATGCGATAACGACACGATTTAACTGCACGCGATTTGTGGTATCGTTTCGAAACGCCACATTCACATTATGCAAGTAAAGATTGTTTCGACAACGTCCCAAATTGAATGCGGGACTATCCATCCTCGCAGTATTGTCTGGTTTAGTTGTATGTATCTAATGGAGCGAAAACCAGTAATTCTATTAAATCGACTATTAGTGAAATTTCTATACAGTCTGGGGGGGGGGGTATTACGATTTACGAAAAGCTGGCGGCGGCAGAGAGAGGGCAACGGCTGTATTAGATGGATATAATGCGCAGCCGCGTGGAGAGCGGAGAGTCCGCTAGAGTCCCGGCGGCGTGTGCTGTGCTCAGCTGTTGTTTTCTTACCTCTGCTCTTCACGTGGCTGGGTATCATTACCTCTATTTGCGGAATTGACAAAAACCAAATCATTATTTGCAGTAAACCTGTAAAAACGAAATGTGTGGAAGCTGGAGCGATATACGACATGTGGGAAAGCGTACACTTGGTTACATTGAACATACGTGTCGTGCAGTATTTTTATAGCACGATTTGTTAATACAAATCAGAATGTATTTGCGAAATTTTTTACTGCAACGATTTTAATATCGGATCGCATCAGTGTGAAAGCGTTCGCTTTAAATACATTTATTTTGAATATACTTTTGTGTCGTTGCGATTTACTGCATGCAGTCAATCGCGTCGTTATCGCACCGTGTGAAAGTGGCCTTACTAGCCAGTTATTGGGAAAGTACTATAACAAATTTCACGCGCGAAAATAAAACTGCGATCATATATAAATGGAGCAAAAGAAGCGAAAATAAAAGTAAACAAGGAAGTAGATGCACAACAAATTTCGGCAACACATAGACATAGAGCGTTGGATATTCTAAAAACTGCAACGGTAAAGCATTCCGAGAACCTGGTTTTTCCAAAATTACTAAATGTCGTCGTTAACACATCTAAAAATGACAAACAGTTACACGTAATACAAAGGTATGAATAAGGAAAAAACAACATTTTGTGCACCTCACTGGTGGGTCTGGTTTTAGCCGAAAAGATGTGCGTGTCCTTGGCAGCATTTTCGGGTTTCCTTTCTAGCGGGTGTTGATAAATGGGAATCTGTGGCCCAAAAAGGTTATCAATCTCCATGAAAATACAGCTCAGTTTTTTTAGCACTCTTAACCTCGCTCGTAACGATTACGCAGATAGCAACTTGTGCCCTACACTCTATTATATACGTACGTTTGTATATAAGGGGTGTAAATGGTACGTTATCTACCTTTAGTGTCTACTACTTTGTACATTGCTAGTTTGATGTTGTAATAACTGTGCAGGCTACACTTGCTTGTTACCGAGCTATTAAATGTATTACGAGGGGGAAAATCTTTTTTAATTTCCTGACTTACGAGTGGTTAATAACACAGTAAAAAAACATGAAATGTATTCAATAGGGTGACTGGAAATTGCTGGTATTGCTCTCGGGAAGAAACTATCACTAATTTGGAATGATTTAACATCTATCACTTGATGGTCGGAACTGCGCCGCTATAGAGAAAATCTATTTTGGTTTTCTTGTTACAAAAATTCGAATTTTGAGTTAAAAATTTAAAAAAAACATTCACACAGTTTGGCTTGAATTTTTCCATTATTTCATAGCTTTCTATTTGGTCAATTTTCCTGTGTTGTGTGTTAAAGCCCAATAATAAAAAAAATACAACGTGTAATTATACAACACGCTACTAAAGTGAAACTTCTTCAAACACACAAACATACCGGGAAAGGGGTTAAGGAATTAAGGGTTTAATGGTATTATTTGTACAGTATGAATTTAAATTTTACCCTATACATGCCGGGAGTTGCCTGTAACGAACGTTGCATTGAAGCGCGCTCACGGCTCAAGCGATCCCCACTACGAACTCGACTACGTGGTCGAAATATGAGGATTGGAAAAACTTTGGCGGTTGTTGTAGAACAAACAGAATAGCTCAAAACCCCAGTCCCTGAAGAAGGTAACTTTGTTACCGAAAAGTGCTTCGGACAACTACAGTGTCGTGTTTTGGCGTTGGGGTTTTGAGCTATTCTGTTTGTTCTACGTGGTCGAGTAGAGGGGGGACACCGTTACATGATTTCGTTACATAGCAATTCGAATGAAACGAACTTACCCTATCGTGTAAAAATAAGACACTGAATTTTTGTAGTTAAGTTCAATGAAATAATTTTATTTACCCACAAATAATCTCAAATTAATGAGTAAAAATTGTTGCCGGCATCACTACCAGGCCCCTGGTCTTACTGTATTGAGTATTGGTGAGTAAAACCAGGGGCCCGGGTTCGATTCCCGATGAGGGAGTGACAGCCGCAACAAAGCAACAATTTTTCCTCATTAATTTGACGTTATCTGACATAGGTTTAGTTAATTCATAAAAATTAATGTTTTAATACACAACATAAAATCTAACAATAAATTTCCTGGTTTTTAGATTTAGGATTACTGATTAGTAACCTATCAGACCACGGAAAAATTAAGGCCAATTTTCTTTTTAAACTTGGACTTTTGTAACAAGAAAACCGAAGTAGATTTCCTAGAACCCCCAAGTGGTAGAGGTTAAGTCATTCCAAATTAGTGATAGCTCCTTGTCCCAAGAGGAATACGAGCAATTTCCAGTCTTTACTTATATTACGTTATCATCTACTGCCATTTGCTGGAAACTGAAGTATTTCAAATGTCAGATAAGGGCCTTACTAAGGTATCTACCTTATCCAACTGAATAGAATACGCAGCTTACAGGTATATATGAAGGGTACGTCAACCAAATTAATTAATAACGGATTAAGTTCCTTCAGTTTGAAATACTTCAGTCAGCAGCAAATACCAGGAAATAGCGACATACTGCCGTAACTTGATATTGTATACAAGGTCTGTTCAAAATGTATCGCGAATTGTTTTTTCAAAAATTTTCATAAATATCTATTTTGTCTCCTTCAAAGTAAACCCCACCAGATGTTATACACTTGTGCCAACGTTTTTTCCAATCCTTGAAGTACTTCAGAAAATCATTTTTTATGATCTTGTTCAGCTCCTCCTTCGATTCCGTCTTTATCTCCTCAATCGTAGCAAATCGACGTCCTTTCATGGGCTTCATCAGTTTCGGGAACAAGGCAAAATCACAGGGGGACAGATCTGAGGAATGCGGCATTATTAGTGTGTTGTTTTTGGCCAAACATTCGCGCACAAGCAACGATGTGTAAGCAAGGGCGTTATCATGGTGCAAAAGCAAATTTTTGTACTTCCACAAATCCGGGCGTTTCTGGCGGATTGCTTCGCACAAATTGCGCATAACATTCAGTTAATATTCCTTATTCACCGTTCTACCCTGCGACAAGAACTCATGATGCACCACGCCCCTGCAATTGAAGAAAACTGTAAGCAAACCCTTCACATTCAACCTAACTTGGCGTGTTTTTCGGTCTTGGCTCGTGCGGCAGCTTCCGTTGGGATGATTGAGCTTTGGTTTTTACATCACCAGTTATAAACCTCTGGAACAAATTTGTCCAACACCTCCTTAGCAAAGTTAAAGCGATTCTTTTTTTTGGTCGAAACTGAGCAATTTTGGTACGAATTTCGCGGAGACCCCTCTCATGCCTAAATCATTGATAAAAATCGAATGACAGGAGCCAATCGGTATGTTCAGGTCCTCAGCAGCTTCTCTAACGGTGGTTCAACGATTGGCCAATACTATTTTCTTTACTTCATCAATGTTTTCGCCTGTTGTTGACGTGATTGGGCGTCAGACACACTCTTCGTCGTTCACATCTTCTCGACCCTCTAAGAACATTTTGTACCACCGACAAACTTTGCTTCAGTACAAGGTGGCTTCACCATATGCCACAGTCAACATTCGGAATGCGTCCGCGTACTTAATTTTGTTTTTCACACAGAATTTGATACAGATTCTTTGATCCATTTTTTGGAATAGGCAAAAATCAAAGACGAGCCAAAACATGTACAAGCAAAGGAGCTGTCAAAAATTAAGTTAACATTCAACATGACCGACCTTGTTCGTATAAGTGAAAGAGATGAATAGGTACCAACATAACGCCACGAGAAGTTGCGATACTGTTTGAACAGACCTCGTATACATCCCTATATGGAGCACCTTTAGTTTCTTTCGTGATTTATATAGACTGCTTATGACGTGCTAATGAGATCAAATAAAGTCGAAATCGCGATCTACATTTCGTAGTTTCGATATATTACTGACCAAGAACTTAATCCTTTCTTATTATTAATTAGGTTTATGTGCCTTCCGCGTATAGGTAGCTTGGTTACGTCCTTGAATTTCTCAAGCTTTTAATAGGATTTTCCCCTGATGTCAAATTTAGTAAACTCTAAAATCCGTGGGTGAGGAAATCCATTAATTATGAACAAATATCACCCGCTGACAGTTTTTTTACTGTGTGTAGAAAAAAGCTGGTTGTCCAGGAAGCCGATTACACTGAAATCGAAACGACGCTATATCTACTGTAACGACGCGATACGATACGAGTCGGACGATGCATCTCGTACAAAAACACTGGAAGTACGAAAAGAATCTGATTGGATACTCCATCGGCTATGTTTACATTACTCTATTAACGTATGGGGTGTACATACCCTGCAAATGTATGACATGGAAGTCGACATTTTTTTGGGTGCTTCATTCCCACCAGTCACCTATGCTGGTGGACGGGTAGCCCCTCCAGACTAAGCTGGAAGGTAGGGCGGAAGGCCTTTTTCAGCCTCCTTTCAGGATTCGTGGGAATGGGTGGGTGGTGGTTCGGGTGAGAAAGAAGAAACGGACGAAATGAAGACAGAAGAGAATGAAAAAGCGGTTTATCTATATGTTAATTACTACGTAAGACCCAAACTGGATCAGTCAATTTCAATCATCTTCCCAACCGCCCGATCACCGTTTGAATAGCTTCGTGGACAACCGGCCTAATACTTCATTGGACAGATAAGCTAGAAAGGTGTTAAAAAGGCATAACTCGCTATAATGTTTCATTTTTGATACAGGTAAAGTGTTTCGTTGTTTCTACTAAATACCTAATAATAAAGTAAGGGAAAATAATGCTTAATAGTAATAATAATAATAACAATAGTACTCAAATTTAAAGTGTAGTAAGTAAAGTATTAAAGAGTAAAAAAGCTCTTCGCTGTTGTAGAAGATAAAGCCCCAATATTATTCAAGAATCTGTTAGCCCAACTCATATATTAATTACTCTAATTTATAAAAACAAGAGAAATTCATATAACAACTACTCTTAAGTTAAGCGCAATAGATTTTTAATAGAGTAAAAGAGAATTGTTACGTTTTTAAGTAAATACTTAACAAGGCACGTAATTGAGAATCACGTATTTCCCAAAATACTTTAGACGTTACACATTATTCTAAAAAACACTGAAACTGAAATCATCTATGAAAAGCGTACGTGAAAAAAGGGAGTAAGTGCTTTAACGAAAAAACTGAGGCGCCATTCCAAAGCTTAAGTTTCCCTGTAAAGCTTAAGCCGGAAACTTCGTTTAATGTAAGCCTTTCTGTGAAAAGAAAAACAAATAATAAATAAATGATCTGTTGCTGCTCAGTTCTCCTGGCCCCTACACCTTAAAGAATAAAAAATAATAATAATAATAGAAAGAAAAAAGTGAAAATTAAATATTAAAAAAGTACCCAAGTAAGAAAACAAAATTGATCTGAACTATAATTAATTAGGTGTGTTGTTGTAAAAAGTCATAGCAGGATCAGCATTCAACAACTTTACTTACAATCTAACATACAAGTGACCTTAATATATTTTTTCGTCTTACAATTTTTTAAAAAAAAATTCGTAACTATTTTTTCCAACTCTGTTAATATACGAGGGTACTCTGAAAATCTACAGTACAGTAATTTATTATAAATCTACCTAAACTATATATCAAAGAGTGCCTATAAAAACTTCCGAGTGTATCACCCCCAACGGGTAAAATTCCGGTGGATACCACTTTAAGTCTATCAATACAATGCAGTCTGTCGTCAAGATTTATGTTTGTCATTATCTTTTTTAGGTCCAAACTCCCGTAAACAAAAAGGGCATGACCACAACAACACTTACTTCGTTCATGTTGTCTATTCCTATTCCTACCGTAAATTTATGAACTTTGGAGCTAGGATCTAATATGTTTGAACATATTACGATTATGAATTTTTCTAAATTTTAAAAAAAATCAAAAATTTTCAACAAAGATAACTTTGGCCTTTGTTGCATACATTTGTGAACTTTTCCTTACACTACATCTGATCAGTACTCCGGAAAAATTAAAGGAGAAGAAGGTGGATACGTGAAAAAGAAGTAGAATGAGCCATCTCGCACCACTCAGTGATGTACATAAACATGAGGGTAATAACCTTACCGAAATCCCCAAATGCTCCGATAATAATAAAGATGATGCCGACTGTGCAATCCCATTTCACCGTCCTAATGTGAATACATTCGGTTTTTGTTTGATATTTTCACACTCAATTCATTTTTGTATTTTGTGGTAATACTTTGCCAATAGAACACTAACAAGTGCAGATTATTTCTAATAATTACGTACAATTGATTTGTCTACGTATCAGCTGTTGCGAAGGTCACGAATAGGTATGTGTGTTTCGTCAGTTAGCGCTTGCGATAACAAAAGACTGACTGCAAAACTGTTTCGTTAACTGGGGTACTTTTTGTGCATACCTTCTACACCCCCTACGTTGTGGTGCTACTACGAGATGCACTCTACAGAGCCCCCAGATATTATCCTTTTAATATTACAGAGTACTGATCAGACATACTGTTTTTTTCTAATAAATTGACCATCATAACAACAAGAATGATAACACGGAAAATGCTTACAAAAAAGACCGACGTTGCTGTCGTCACTTAGCATTCATCATCAGATTTAATAATTTGCCTTACGTTAAAAAAAAGTAATTGCTTTGTTGTCATTCAAATTATATTGTATTTGAATATTTCTGATTAATTATAGAAATAAAATAAGAAACCAATACACTTTGGACTTTTATAGAATTATTCCAAACTAAAACATGTTATTATATTCGCTCAATACTAATTCTGCTATGGACTTTTTGAAAAAAAGCACAGATGTTACTACAGTTTTAATTAGTTATTGTTATATTCAGATCGATTTAAGCGAAAATGAAAGATACGACCAAATATTATTTATTATTGTGAAATTCCAGCAAATAAACGAAATACCGGAAATAACAATTAATTTTGTGAAGTTTATACAAAAAGAGCGTTAAGAATCGATAATCGATTATCTCATGTTCCCAAAATATCATTGTGGAAGATGCTGAGTATCTTTTGCTTCAAAAAAATATTTTGATGAAAATTTTACAATTGCAAATAAAACTATAACAATTTTTGCCCTACATAATTTTTGTTCACCAAAACGAGTTTGTAATAATTAAAAAGCGTTTTTATATTCGGTATCAACTTCGATATATGAGCTAAGAAACAATCGATCGTATCTCTCACTTTCAATTCAGATAATAAGTGAAATCTGCTGGCATTAACTGTATGTATAGTATAAAAAGCGTTAAAAGAAATAAACATTAATTACTAAAAACTTACGTAAACTTCTTCCCATTGACTGACATAACGCACAAGCCGAGATAATCGAAGCAGTCGGACCAATGAAAGCAGCTTGGCAAGTCGGAGTATGCGCAGTGCTCGGCCGGCATGCAAAATTTGGAAACTGTCGCCATAATCCTGGAACTAAAATATTAGGTTAGTTCACAATGCCTACTACACTGTAACAATTGTTGTCAGAACCAATAATAACAAGAAATACATTGCAATAAATAAAAAAATTGCTTAATAAAAAACATAGACAAGTATCGCCATCTAGTGGGTATTCGCTGTTACTTAAGTTATGTAAGACCTTACTAAGAAATTTTAATGTGTGTAAACTGCATCGATAATGCAGTCTGAAAATGCGCTTTGCAATTTCGATCTATTTGAATCTCATCTGTCTGGATATGTACATATATTACTGATCAACTCGAAGAAAGCTCCTCAACAGCAAGTTGATGTAATATCCAAATTAGTGATAGGAAATTTGGAGAGTTAGGCAACTTGTTCTGGATCATTTTAAGGATTCAAATCATAATTCCGTTTTTGAATCCCACTATTTACGTGGCCCGATTATACAGCTGCACCTGCATTAAGTAGGATCGACAATGACTCAGATCTACTCCGAGTCCAAAAAAACATGGGAAACTGGGAACCGTTATTGTAGAATAGACTTTAAATGGTTATTTATTTGGATTTCAAATATACAACTGTAATTAAGTCGCACACCTCAAATATGTCCTAAATCTTGCTTTTCTTATTTCAAAGAGACCCGGAAACGCATAAACGTTCGTAGCAGTGATTCATCGATTGACGATACCATGGATTTTACTGATCGAACTGAAATCCACACACGCTATTCTAAATGTTTGCTCTATTTAAAGATCCGAATCAGTGAACCAGATCTGATTTGATCCGGATATCATTAATCCAAATACTCACATAGTGTATCGCTGTCTAGTGGATATTTGATGAATAAAATTGATAAACTGACCAAGAACATAAACGTTACAAGTTTGTTGTCTACAGATATCACATAGTATTCGTAATTTCTAAAATTATATTTTTCATTTTCCCGGAATTAAATTTGTTATGGTTCCGGGATATATTGGGTCGACTTTGAGAAACGAAAAAAACCACTACACGGAACCTATACGCGGAAGCACAACTAATGTTGGTCGAAATAAAATATCAAAAATTTCATGTGACGATAACCAAAACACTGTGTGGGGTCCTATAAAGAGCAAAGCTAAAGGAGGAAAGGGGGAGATGAAGTGAAATCCGCGAGGGAGATTAAGTGAGATCCGCGAAGCGGACGTGAAGCTGGGAGAAAGAGGTGATCCAGTAGTCCATATGGTTCAGAAATCGTAGGGTAATCATAGACTAACGTTGAGTTGACGATTACAACCCTGTACCGAAATTTCCACATACAGCGTATAGTTTCCTCCCGGAACTCAAGGAAGCGTAAAGGTACGACAATAATACAGGTCTGCGAAATTTTTTTTTTTTGGAAACTTTTTTTCTTATATTGTTAATATTTGTCGTAATTGTCTTAAAAGTAATAGAAAAAAATATTCATATGGTGTATACCACGGCAAATTAACCCATAAATACTCAGAGAACACATTTCCATTTGAACCCTTGCCACGTAATGAGTGCGACGAAAAAATATTCGATAACCAGTGTTTCTATGTTTCTAATGATGCTCTTTTCGATGGTGTTGGTTGAAAACACCACCGACAATATTAAAGAACGAAAAAATCGAAAATAAACAAAAAAAACATGATGTTTGAATTGACTTTTTTCTTAAATAGTAATTTTTTGTGTCCTTACGATTTTTTTATATACTTAAAACCTATATAGATCATGACCTCGATATCTAAACATGAAATAATCACCGTTGGTCAAGTCGAAATGCCTTTGCAAACTGTTTGATCAAACCAAGTTTAATGTAAAGTGGTGGATGCAATACTTTTTCGGAATCTTTCAAACATACATACAATACTTCATTCAAAGACGTATTAATTACCTAACTTACTAATTATTACTGATACCGTTACATAAAGCAAATCGTGATTCAATGCAATTAAACAAATGAATGTAAATCCTTCTGAAATTAACTGTATCTGCTCTCGACTATAACTACCGATAATACAAACGAGTGAGGTCAAATTCCCCACCACTTGATCCTTTCTTTTAATCAGATTGCATTTTGTTATTATTCTAAAAAAGTATCTCGGAACAACATTTTGTCATTCAAGTGTCTCAAAGTACTTCAATGTTCTTTCCTTATTAAAAATAACGGGGGCGGCGTTGGAGAAAGCCAGAGTGGCACTTTTACATACGTGAGCCACATACGTACATATATTTTTATTATCCACACATATGAATACACTGATACATAGATATATATATGTATAAGTGAATTTGCTTGCGACATGTTATTTCACTAAGTTTGCTTTGCAGTCCAAGAACTCTTGAAAAACAAAAAGAAGAGAAACAGGAACAAATCCAATAGTTAGCAATACCCAAACCCATACGACTGTGTAACCAAACACGAGACGAGCTCTGTTTTAATTAAAAGTTTTTATGTTTTTTTCTCTCGTTTGGACTCATATGTCGCATGCGTGCTTGGTTACAAAAGCAAATACGTGTATATATGATCTGAATGTATTCGTGTTTAACGATACCGCCTGATATTTCGCATGAATGAATTAAACACGTAGTTAGAAAAACCGAGTAACAGCAAGTGTATAACAAACTTTTACAAAAGAACAAACTTTATACGAACGCAAATCTACGTGTATCTAAAAACGTTTTAAAAAATTAAACAACAAACGATAGTTGATCACGTTGATGGACTGATCAAATGGAAATTGCTAATCTCAAGTAACTAGCAGTATTTCGCCATCTGTAGATATTTCTTATAACCAATTCACAGCATTTGAAAAGACCTTACAAAACTAGGTACCTTCTTGCCCAATTGAACCTACAACACAGTTTACTGTTTAACAGTTTAACTCAAAATTATATTCTTTTTAATGACAGTTTGGTAAATGTCTAGATGATGTTGGGTGGGATCGAAAGAGGAGGTCTCCCCACCATTGTACCATAAAAAGTTCGTGGCGGTCTCACCCCCATAAAAAGTTATGGGAGATGATGGCCCCCAATCCGAAGGGGGTGGGGTAGGGGGGATCGAAAGAAGGTGGCCATCTGAGTAAAACCCTATAAAAAATTTGCGGCGGTCTCACCCCTATAAAATGTTATCGGGGTGGAAAGTTGATTATTATGACAATTTTCATACACTATAATTCAAATAAAATTCAATAACAAAATTATTTTCAAACGGGTGGAGGTGGGGCATCGAATGAGGGTGGTCACTTGAACAAAACCCGATAACCTAACCTAACCTGTACAGACGACTCTGTACGTTACACNACCTTTGAATATTGTTTAAGAATGACTATATAAATATTTACATGCCTAGAAATGTATAAAAATTGGCATATTTGTTAACTTTGAACCCCCATAACTCTTTATGAGGGTGAGACCGCTACGAACTTTTTATAGTACAGTGGTGGGGGAGACCTCCTCTTTCGATCCCCCCATCATCTAGACCTTTACCGAGAGTTTTTCAAATCATAATTTCTTCAATTATTCAAATCTTCTGTTTCGATTTTTTAGGGATTTCCAATAAATGACACTGTAATCAATTTAAAAATAGAAAGGCCACAATAAAAGGTTAATTGGTCATATCCGGGAAAATATAAAAATCTTCTCTTTTGTCAAGTGGAAACCCGTCAACGAATAGGAAAATTCACTCGAAAGCATAATTAATTCCAAAAATACGTATTATTGTGCGAATTACCTTATAATAATGTTTATGAAAACTGTTTTGAAAACACTCATTATTTTGTAATTTTCATTCCCCCACCTCCCTTTTCCCGCGAAAGTAAGTAAACGTTGAGTCCACTTCACCCCTAATGCGTTAATCAGATATTTCAACTGGTCTAATTGAATTTTTGACTCGGTAGGAAAGTAAACCATATTTTTGTTGTAGTTAGAATATCTTTTTAAGGCCTTGTCTAATTAATAGTTCAGTAGCATAAATGCCCACTAGATGGCAATACACAACCTGATATCAACTAATTTGTTTTTATGAAGCAACATCTTGCCGATTTCATTTTGAGGTGATTTATAAATTCTAGTGTGCACATGAGAATTAATAAGTTGGAAATTACAATCTATACCTGGTGGTTCCGATAAATGGCTGAACACGAACTGTATGTTCTTAATTTAAAAATATTTGAGTGAATTTCCTTACGGCAGCGATTATACAAAAGAGGAAGAAATATCTACTGCTGACTTTACGGCAATTTTAGAGTTTCCATATTTAATAAACAGAAAATAGATTACGCTTACATAATGTGGATCGATTTCGGTTGAAGTTTGTCTCCAACTGTATTAATCGAGTTCCTCCTAACTACCATATAGTATAATTAATTTTGCCAACATCGTTACTGAATATCGACAATGTACATTAAATGGCAAGACGCCAACTTGACGGGAGGCTAACTGGAAACATATTTATTTTTTATTTCTAGGGGAAATTTTTGCAAAATAATTGGAAAATGTCACTACGCGTTGTTTGTAATGACCATCCCCTTTCAATGAACTGTTTAGGTGTAAGTGAAATTCATTAAAGTTAACATTAATTTGCCTAAACAATGAATCGAATAGTGAATAGTTTTATGTTTATATTTAAAAAAATACCATCCTCTTTTTTGCAAATTGTTTTGTAACCCTTTGTTAAAATAAATAAATCATAAATCAATCATATCAAATAAAGATGGAAATACCAGAACTGATTTTGCTGGATAACCGGGTGCCCGGCATTAGCTGTGCCGGTACCCGGCAAAACCACTACGGCTAATAGGTCATGTCTTCGTTCAGCCGTGCTTGCCATTAAATACGTCAGTATTCAGAACCCGGCCGGATTCTAAGAGAAGAACCGGATCCGCCGAGTACAAAACTACTTTTAGAAGAGCTTCTCGCTTGTATGTCCAATCATTAAGTGGTTATTTTGTTCAAATGGCTCTTTTGGATTCAGATACAACCCGTACGTTGTATGTAGAATCGGAAAT